ATATATTCAAGCTATTCTCGATATAAGAGTAAGAAAGACTAATTAAACTCTTGATATAAGAAAGCCAAAACCAGCAATCATAAAAATCCACTCGATAAAAGAAAGTTATTAATAAACTCTCGATATAAATGAAGTTTTGTAAAATTTTTACTATGGACCCGACCTCCTTTTTTATATCGATATATATAGATATATATATAATAAACTAAGATATTAAAATTGTTCGGTATAAAGATAAAAAAAAAAACTGTATATGTATATACAAATCGATTCAAAAAAATATTTACAATCTATAATCTAAATAGAAAAATGAGTATAAAACAAAAAAAAAAGTGAATTCTATTTCTGAAAGTTCTAAATGTTCACGATGAAAAGGGTGGATATGTTCTATTAAATGATAGAAAGCTTCATAATTGGAAATTGAAGCTGAGGGCGATAATTCTAATATGTAATATGATATAAATTGAAACAAAAAAAACCTTCGTAGTTGAAGTTGAATTTAAAAAAATCTTAAATGAAAATTGAATTTAAAAAAAAAAAACCAAAATAAAAATAATCAAATACAAATGAAAGAAAGCGAAGTGTTCTATTTTTTAAATTATTAAAGTGTCCTATTCTATTAAATTTATTAGACCGGGATATGATCTAAAAGTCTTCTTAAAATTAACATATAACATAATCTTAAAAAAGCATAAATTAACATGTTATGAATAAAACTCTGACCGCCAATCAGGAAAAGGTTCAGAAAAAGGCATTCCCGAACCATTAAGCGGTGATGTTTGTGTGTTTGTGGTTGAATTGGTAAGTGGGAATTGATTTACCTCTTCCGAATTAGAATTAAATGACATATCAGTAATAGAATTGGTAAGATTCATGTCATCCAAATTAGACAGAGGTGATGATGGATTGGAAAATATTTCGAAAGGATTATTTGGTGATGACACATGCACTGACGTCGAAACTGATGAGTTATTTGTTGTGCAATAGTTAATTGGAGATAGATGATTTGAGGAATAACACGTTGGAAAAATGTTAAAATTCTGATCTTCATCTGAATACGTCGAAGGTACACAATTCGGACTCGGAGAACGTGAAATGTTTGAAGTCATATGATTAGAACTCGGAGAACGTGAAATGTTTGAGGCCATATAATTCGAACTTGGTGAACATGAAATATTTGAAGTCATATAATTCGGACTCGGAGAGCGTGAAATGTTTGAGGTCATATAATTTGGACTCGGTGAACGTGAAATGTTAGAGGTCATATAATTTGGACTCGGAGAACGTGAAATGTTTGGATGAGAAACAGGTTCACGGTTTCGGACTTCTTGTCTCTTTTGACGTTTGTCACGACTTGACGAACGATGCAATGGATATTGTATACTAGTGGTCCTAGATAATCGATCTTCAGGGAATGCTTGTTCATTGCTTGTTGAAAAATTTCCAGTGAAATCTTCGCATTGCATTTGTAATATTTGTTCTTCATTTGTTACTAAATCATTTATTACCAAATCATTTATTACTAAATTATTATCAAACAAATCTGTGGTTAGAGACTCTTGAGGAAATTGTTCATTGTATGTTGTTAAATAGCCCCTGCCATAAAAACTTTCGTTCGATAGACTTTGCTCGTTGTTCAAAAAATTTTCAACGGAGTTTTCATTTTCTTGGTTTAAATTGGGTAATGTTGGTACATTGTTTAAATCATTCCCAATAAAAATCCCATTTGGCTGAATGTTTTGACCAAAATTGGGTGGTGTCGATTCGTTATTTGTCACCACAGAATGAGAATTTTTGTTTAACAGAGTTTTGAAATGATTGACTACGGCATGCCTATTTCTACCTAGCGATCGCCACAATTCCTCACCCCATCTTTGGAGCTCTATTTTCGGTGGTGTACGAGAATTTGACTCTGTTGCTTCCTTAGGACCCCTTTTTTGTTGTGGATTGAATATAC